GTCGTTATCAATTGTATCGTTAATTGATAAAGATAGAATTGAAAAAAATTAATCATAATAAAGCAGTGTTAACATCTGTTATGTTTTCATTATAAGAAAAAGAGGCGTGTTCAAGTGAAAACATAAAGTTTATTTTATAAACGAAAAAAAAAAGTGCTACTCTAACATCATCACTTATGTATTTATATATAGAGAGAAATAAAACAAAAGAAGGAAAGAGAAGAAAGACAACACGAAAGAATTAAAAGACTAGTATATGTAGATGTCGGATTGACATATATCCTAACATCCTTCTCTCTTGAGAAAAAAAATTTTTGTGGGTGTGGGTGTGGGTGTGGATGAAAGCAGATCATCCACACCCACACCCACACTCTTTATTATATGAGCAAATGATTATCTTAGCATGTTACTGAGTATGTAATTCGATTCTTCAATTTCATTGATACGATTGCAAAAACTAGAAATAGATACTAAAGGAAATGAAGAAGTTGACAAATAACACAAACTATTTAGCATTAAGTGGAAGTTAATACTTGTCACATCGTTCAGAGCACAAATGTACACCAGTAATGGTCAAAGAATTCGGGCGGATAACCAAAATCAGATTGTTGATTTTTTATTGAAATTTAGATTGCATGTCACTAATTTTTGGGATGTTCGCGTTGAATTGACGGAACAATAACACCGAAAGAACGTAGGATGTGCTAGAAATGAGATGTAGTTAAATTCTTTTAATTTTAGAATCCTTAGGAATTCGAAGATGTACGAATTCATTACTAAAATCAATAAAAATTTTTAGATGTAAAAAATTGAATGGATTCCGGCAAGGAGTTTCAGATAAATCAACACAGTTTGATTCTATAATATAGAGAGAGATGCGTTCCTATCATCAAAACGAAGTGTTACTCACAATTCTAATAATTCAGAAGTCAAAATAATTCCTTGACACGTTTGGTGAATCTCGTTATTCTGTCATTCACACTTCTCCATTACTTAACTACTATGAATTCACTTTTGAATTCAAAACAGTACAAAATCCATCATATCAATTTGTCTTCGTAAAAAGGCTTACTGGAATAATTGATTATATGTTAGAGCTTTTCATTTGCCACTATTAGACATTGTATTATAAGTTCAAATCTCAAATAATCATAGATGTACTTAAATAGAATATTTTTGAAGTAAGACATAACGTAATAGCTTCTAATCATTACTATTTGACTCAAATAATATTAAAACTGTAGCTATTAGCTGAGATCTTATAACATATCTAAAGAATGCGATTACTTTTTTCCTGAAAACTGCTTGTAATTGAATAATCTTATATTGTTAAGATGAAGTTAAATACTAAAGAAGAGTTCTAGTAACAAAAACGAACGATAATTAAATCATTTAAAAATACGCAGGAATAAATCTTTTTTTATTGAATGATATAATTTAGCTTTTCAACAATCATCGAAAAATAGTTTTAATGATATAGGTACATTTTCTGCTGAAACTATGTTACACAGATTGAGAAAGTTAACGTGATGTTTTATATTTTTTAATTTGTACAAGACAATCATATTTCAATTTGTTATTGCGTCTCTTTTAGCTTGTTTTCATTGCAGATATACTCACGATGAGAGAATGACGAATATTTCGTTTGATATCAGGAATCCAATAGATCCTTTCGCTAGGAAACAATGATAAAAATATCGAATGAGAAAATATGAAACTGACTGTTGACTGTAACAGATTGTACAAAACTTTCATTTGCCTTATGATGCTCCACTTGCTCGTTTCATGATGATCTTAGAAAGCAAATAAAAATGTATAGATCTGTAGACGTTTTCGTCTTGTTTCAATTTAGCCTCGATATGTTTGGATCTTTGGTTCCCATTTTTTATCTGCCTTACAACAATACAATTTGAGCATGTTTATGGCGTTTTTGTCGTGTGTTTGCTTCTCTCGTTTCCTTCGTCGGCAATAAGAGTAATTGTATTTAACAAATGGTGATGAATGATTCATCATCTACAATCATACGTGCATTTATTGAGCTTTTAAATGACGATTATTCTCTTATTTGCTGACATTCTAATTTTATTTTTTATTCTGTAATTTGCTGTTAAAAAAATATTTGACTAAGACGATGCATTTGATTTTGTTGATGAAATGAGTGTTTACTTTTGATAGATTGCGTATCAGTCATGAATATCAGAAATGACATCATATTGCTCGTATTTTAGCGATACTTTCTTCATTCCTTCTTCTCATCTTTCTCATATCAAACTCTCACTTTCACATTTATTGCCGCGAGCGGACATTTAGAGTGAATATGAGCCTTCTACTGACTCGCATCGATTGTCTTTTTGCATCGTTTACCAAGCCATTTTATAATATTGGTTATGACTTTTTCTTTCGTTTCTCTTCTTGTATCCAAAGTAATCGAACACAACGAAAAAAAAAATCTGTTTTTTTCCGTTCATTATAGAATATTCAATGAAAACAAAACTTTTTACCACCACTTTTTTTTTCGAGTAGTAAATTTTCATCATGGGTGGGCTCACATTCACAACAAAACCTATCCAAACTGTTAAAATTGTTTGATATCTCTAAAAAAAATCGCGCTTAAAGGGTCACAGACATTTGCAATTTATCCGTTTCAACAATGACAATGTGTTAAGCAACTAGACGCTTTTATAACTCGTTTGAACAAGTTTTCAAGAATATATCATACTGTTTAAATAGTAATTATTTGGAAAAGCTTTTTATCGTTTTCACAATTGATGTTTCAAGAAGAAGATGTTTGACTGAGTAATTCAAACAGTCTCAATGATAATGCATAGTTTTCACATATCATTCTAAATTAAACATCCAGTGATCACAAGCAATCCTGATTTCGTCGGAAATCGGTGGTTGGACGATTTGACACTGTCTATTTTGTGATCTAAGAGATGTTCCATCATTTTCACTGACTTTTCTGACTAGTTCAATCATAATCGATCTTTTCTTATGCTGAAAGTTTTTCTTCTGTATTTTCTGTCTAGAACGGAATCAAGTTACTTATGAATTTTTGTATTTATTTTATTTAGTTTCAAAGATGCGGAACTTTATCGCTTAAAAATTTTCTTTTCTAGAACAAAGAAGGGTGTTTCAAAAAAGATCACAACGACGATTGCAGCCAAATAACTAAAGAACAGTGTAGACATATAACTATTGACAAAGGTCATTGGTTGATAATACACAGGGATTGATTGATTAAATAGAGTGACAAAGATAACTGTCGAATGAATCAGATAAGCAGCATAATTCAAACGTGCTAATGGTGTCCAAATGGAAAAAGATAATATTCGATTGACGATACCACCTTGATTGATGCTACACAAAAAAATGAGCCACGAAATCGAGATCGACCAAGCGGGTCGAGATAGACTTTGGTAGGTGATGAGTGTAGCTCGATTAAGACCAGGTACTAGTATATAATCGCCATAGATCGAAAAGATACAAGCCAAGGCAAGTATAATAGCGAAAAGATTTCCAATGAGTCGAATGTAACTATTCAAACGATAGGTACGACCGGTATTGATAACAAGAAATCCGGTGAAAAGTCCAATAGCATAGGGTGAAATACGACACCACGGAGTCCCGTAGATTTTGTCGAAGAAATTCGGACCCGTCTAAAAGCAAGAAGCAAAATAATTCAGATCTCAGAGAAATCATTAGAAGATATTATTGACTCACTTACCGCATTACTTGAAATATCCAATGCATGTGTGACCATACTTGGATAATAGAGAAGAAGACCAATAATTGATCCAATACTGACAAATACGAATAGTATTGTCATTATGTATCCAATAACTTTTTGTCTCATTACAAATGGAATTAATGCTAGCGGAGCAATCCAATGAAATTGCATGTCATTGAAAAGATACCATGTTACACCGAGACACATATTATCTGATTTGAAAAAATTTCCAATGTATAAAAATGAAGTCCACCAAGAACCATTACGACAACCGACCGGTTCAAATCCTTGTTGAATAGGATAAAGAGGTCCATGACCGAAATAGGGCGT